GGTTCGACCTCGGTCTTGCCGGGTTATTTATTACTTCGACACTCCTGCACTTGGGAGAAGACATCAATCTTTTAGTTGTGTCAACTACACAATAAAATATAAGCCCCTTTTTATACTAGGAATGAAGAAATCTATTCATAAATAATGCAACAAGTCAATTTTTATCCTGGAAAGAAGAAATGAATTGGAATGGAGAAATTCCAGTCAGTATCAACCAATTGCACTCAATAAATCTTACTATAACAGATGCTTTGACCTAAATAGAAGTGCAATCCCCTCTCACTATTAAATGGAAGAGAATAGTGGAGTTTCATATTAGATTGGTTGTCAAAAAACAATCCTAGTTAAGATGGTTAGAACATATTTTGTCTGGTTATAGGCAAGAATATTCCTGACATTTTCATCAACTCAAACAAATACTTCAGCATTAAAATTTGAGTTACCATTGACAGAGGTAAACTGAAATTATCTCTAAATATTAGTTAACTAATTTCATGCAGGAGCTGTTAAAAATTAAAAAAAAAACACAAAAACTATCAAGATTGCAGAACAATAAGGCTTACACTCCTAAATTGGTTAGCTAAGTCATCTTTTTTATCAAGCACATCAGACAAACATAAAGAACAAAAATGAGATAGTTAACTAATATACAACTTATGAATAAATAACTGAAATAAATCAAGAAAAATAAATCATTTATATATAGTTATTACTTCTCTAGTAACAATGAGACAGAGGTGTTATTAAGTTGCAGAAAAAAAAAAAGAATAGAGAAACATACATGTGGGTGTGAGAATAAGAAAGAATCAATGCTAGAACAAGCACTATAAGTTCAAAAAAAAAAAGAATAAAGAAAGGAGAGAGTGAAAGAAGAAGAGTCGTTAAAAGAAACAAGTAACATTAGTTTCATCTAACATTATTCTCATATTTGAAACAGTGATCAAGAGTCTTTTGCTCCTCTACTCTTTTTCGTGACTAAAATGGGTTTGAAGATTTCTTTAATTAGGTTTTCTCAATTCTATTTCTGTCTTCATCATTAATTGTTTTGGCCTTTTAATTGTAAAAAGTCAAAATGATGTCGTTTCAAATGCGTGTGTGTAAAAGGCCGGATCTTAACCAGGTTTACTCGGATCAACTAGGTTCTAGCTTGACCAGATTTCTTAGACCCAGCCCGATCAGACCCTAAGTCAATTTATTGAACTGGGCTAAATTTTAAAACTATAATATATAATTTGATTAATCATAGTTAAATAAAGCATAAATCATTGTCGACCTTAATTCATTCTAGAGACCTTAATTCATTCTAGAGGTATGACCTTTTGTTTATACTTAGAAAATGTTTATAATTTTGCATGTATATATTTATTTTTATAATTTTATTGCTTGTTTATATGCTTAGTTTATGTAATCATAATTTGATTTTTACTTTTTATATTTTTGAAGTCATGAGTTTTTTTATATTTTTCAACTTTATAAGATAAATACAATTTAAATTTTTGAAGTCATGA